TACCCTTATGACTGGTTTTGTGGTCCAGGGTCACAAATGTGCTACAAAGTATGAAAGTCATACTAAAATGATCAGGCACCTTGTTAAAAATAAATCTTTGTTTATTTGTATATGAAATGCAGAGCTGTATGTGCTACACACACAGACAGGCCAGTTTCTGAACATTAAATAACCATTGCTGATGTGTAAAAGTGGGTGTGTCCAAATATAATTAACCAGATGTCAACAAGCTGCCATAGTACAGAATGAGGCATTTTTCTAGCATAGTTTCAATAAGTAGTCTTTTTTTGTTCACTAAGGAGGAAGTTACAATATGCTTTCATACTACATTAAGCTACATTAATAAAAATGTATTCCTTATAATGTGAACCTCTTTAAATATGTTGTCCAGATTATAAAAGAGTTTAGTTAGGTAGCTGTATCTAAAACTCTGCAGTACGTAAGTGCATTTTATAATGGAGCACTTTAAAATGTACAATATTTAATAATGCTGATAGCCATTACAGTATTGATAATGGCTCCATCAAGTATATTAACGTGTCTGTGCTCTATCCTTCAGCTTCCTCCATTGCATCCCGCAATCCTTTTCCCGACACATTGCCCGGAACAACGTCCTGACGAGGTTCCGTATTCGACGTGTGTTCACGAACTTTGTGAAAACTTTCCAGCAGCACACAGTGGGCATGGGAAAACTTGGATCGCAAGAGGTCGTGTACAAGTATATATCCACACTGGAGCGCCTGGCACCAAATTTTGGCGTCGAGACCTTCCCTGTGTTCAATCTTGACCTGAGAGCTGATGGAGATGGCAGTGGGTCGTACCTCAATGCCTCCCGAACACAGGCTCCCTCTGAGGAAACTGGGAACGGTCAGCCTACTTATGAGATCAGAGTGTCTGGCTCAGCAGGCATATGGTGGAGGAAGACATCAGCACAATGGGTAAGTTGATGAAGTACATAGTTAAAGGTCCCCTGAAGTTCCTTGAAACACGCAGAACAATTCTATGTGGTGACGTAATTTCAACTGAAACAGGAAGAGAGGGCGGGACATATCGAGCATTTTTAAAATATAGCCAATAGCATTTTGTTTATATCTGCTCGGGCCAGAGCCTTTGAGCTCGGTAAAGCTGCATTTGACAGCCACAGTCTAATAAATTACTCCCTAGATTCAATAAGAAACTCTTAGTAAAACAAAATAGTGGTCATAATCATGCTGAGGCTGTGT